ACGTATGTGACCTATACAATGACTTGCGGTGGCCAACCGATGTACAAGTCAGTGCTGTTATTCTCCCATACGAGCCTGGTACCAACTAATCGACCTGTAGAGAACTTAGAGTTTTCTGGTTATCGATCCGGGATCCATTCCCGTATCATGTGTGGGCGATAATATTATACGCCACCTGTCCCTACATCACCTTTAAACTTCATGAATAATACTTTCAATTAATTTAATTAAAAAATTTAATAATTAGTCGTTCTGCATTGCCTTTATAAATGGATTATGGCTGTCCTTTTCGCGTTACAGTATATGGCGAAAGACTATTTTCTGGTCTCAGTGTGCTCGAATAAGTTACTTCCTATTTCATTCGACTGTGGGAAACTTAGCTGAAAATTATGTCGTTCTAATGGTAATTACTTTTTCCCTTGAGAAAATAGTCTACAATATCCTCACGAAGGCAGATATTCTAAGTATAGTTATGAAAAGATCCAGAAACCACTCGCTCAGATATTTGCCTACCTCAAGAATCCTCACTACCACTAGGACAATTTGGAATTATAATCTGCCATCCAGTGTTACTTAGAAAGATGTAAGTGGTTACTCAAAAACACTTTCTTCAAAAAGGATTGACGAGCTTTCTAGAAGCACCTTTTTTCAAAGCGTTTTGAAACCACATTAAATCGACTATGAATGAGTTCGAAGAAAAAGTTTATGGGTGATATTTGCATTATCTAAAAGGAAATGATCTTTTAATAGTGCCCTATCACTTTAAGTGGGAAATGACGACAAAGCCGCGAAGGTCTACGTTTGTTATATTACATTTCCGTTGAATAGAATGATGTGATATACGATTTTTGTTCGCTTCGAAAAGCACAAGATCAGACCGAAGCGCACATATTGTAATTGACTGGGAGAATACAATAAGCTTTGTATCGGCGAAAATCACAAGTAATGAGAGCAGACTTAAAAACTACACTAATACCGGGTATGGAGGGTGTCTGCAAGCCCTCTTGGCCCCTTTTTCTGCGCTCAAACATGAAATAGTACATTTAAACGGTCTCGGTTAAGAAGTATGTGTACTTGTGACCATATAAGCTGATTCCATATAATGGATAGGTAAAACCAGTAAAAGATGTAGGATCAAATCTTTCGGCATTAAGGAATCCCTCCTCTGGTTTACCCTCCCGCATTCGACTTCAATCTCGTGGCGTTCTGAATGCGTATGTGGCCTATACAAAATGACTTACTGCTACCACTATGCACAAGTTAGAGCTTTTATCCTCCCACATGGGAGCCTGGTATCAGTGAACTGATCTCCGATGCCTGAAAGGCTTAATTGTCCTGGTTTGACACCGCTCCAAGATCTGAGCCCCGGACAATACGTGTGATAGTGGCCCCTTTTGTCTTTACACCATTTCCATGAAAAGTTCTTTATCATTAGTTAGACCTAGATTGGAAAGTCAATCAAGGCTACAGAACGTTCACACTCAGAAAAAACCAAAATGCACTCTAGTGAAGGGAAAAGTTTCTAATCCTATTTGGCATAGTTTACAGTACTGTCCAGATGCTATTAGATAGCAAAAAAGCACCAATTCGTGACGAACACTCAATCATTTACTACTGCAATCCGGCTGAGGAAACTGGCTCGAGGGTCAGGCTAATGGAGATAACCCTAATAAAAAAGTTCGGAGATCAAGAATCCTAGCAATAGTCTCACTGAACATTCAAAGATACATTCGATTAGCAATTGGCGTGGACCAGTGGGGAAGTCATTACTCATTCATTTGCTCTAAATGAGTTCGGGAACCCCTCTCAGGAGTTTGACAACTGATCCTCTGAGATTTCCCTTCAATACTTGCGAATCTTTGTAGCCGCATGAGGGTATTTCCTTTTTTTTCCTAGAAGATTTCCACAACAATCCTCCCCTATCCGAATCGGAGGTGTTTTACGGAGCGGTGGTTGAGTGAAGACGATTTAGGCTGTTTCGTTACTCTCCTCAGATAAGCACGCTATTTAAACTGAAAGTGCGACTAGGAAGCTACATATTCAAAAAAGCTGAGGCTTTTGGGTACTGCCCTCCAACTAGATTTTGGATCTGCTGCCTAGGCCTCACAACTCGTCTATCCACAAATCCCATGGAAATTGATCGCTACTACATATGTACTATGGCCAGCTATCAATGACGCTCTTTAGGATTAAGCTGATACTTGCCTGCTTGCATACGCTGAGTGGATTAGTCGTAAGCTTTCGATTATCGCATAGTCCCCGTGATTTTTCCTTTTCACGATACGATTCTATGCACAGGATAGGGATAAACTTTCACGTAAGATGTAGTCAGCCCTTCTTTCGAACCAAGCCATATCATCTTGTGACCATTACTCAAGAGCAAGAAGCTCCCACATGGGAAATGCTACAAGTAGCTCAGCACGGTAGCATTTGGTCGTCCTGCTGCACTAACATGTCACTGTTTCTGGGGTACCAGAACTGTTTCGTAGTAAGGAGACTCACCAGGCCCTTTGCTTGTCGGCAGTGTAGCTTAGTGGGCTTCCTTACCAGGAGTGCAAGTCTTCTTTGTGGGTTATGCTGTCGTCCAGATCATGGAGACACCGATATTCTACCAAAAGGAAATCATTAAAGTTCATAAGCTGTGTCACAGTACCCTTTCATTCGGTATGGGCATGTAATGAAAAGCTGACTGAATGTCAGTAGCTTATCCAGTATAAGCTCCGGTAACCTTTCCGGTGACTAATCTTCTTGTAAAAAAAATAATCGAGATGTTTTTCTTTAGTGTATTTGGTTGAGTGGGGGTCCATACAATATAGCAAAGGGCCAAATAATTTCTCGATGTCGGTGCAGGGTCGACCAGAACCATACCATCGTATAACCACTCCTCTTAAAGGCACCGTTAGCAATAAATTCAGGGTACCCTTTCTTGATGGGAATCGATAGAACTACTCTAGAATAAAGCGATAACAACGAAAAAAGCGCAAAAAACGATGAACAAAAAGAATTACAAAGGGTCAAAAAAGAGCTGGAAAGGGGGGGTTGGACGAGTTTCACATTGAAATAACGGCGGCGAGTGCACGGAGGCGACGCAATGTGTTGTCTGCAATAGCAGACAACACATTGCGTCTCTGGCAATTTGCCAACCAGTTTATCGACTTTTCACCAACTTCGCTCCAATGCGAAAGTGGTGAACAGCAATTAGATTTCGTAGTCAGCCTAGCGAGGGGCGGAGGGCGACCGTGGGTAACTCTCCGGCCCCTTATTGTGCCCTATCCAGCCGTTTTCCGACCTCATTCCTACACAAATGGTATCAGAGGGGGCGTCGAATTCAAACCATGTGCAAATCTCTGAAACCATTTTTTCGTGAACAGTGCCTTTAACTGAACCCTAGCCTACAACAGCTATACGTCAGTCAGGCGACCTGCGACCATTCGAAAACAGCCAGTCGGTTCGATCCTATGGTTCCCAGATCAAATGTGCCTTTGAGTACAAATACAAATTCATGGAATCTAAGCTTTTCCACCACAGAAACGATCCAATCACAAACGCTTTATATTCGTTATCTGGAAAGTCTCACGGCGATAATCTCACAACTTTTGCGCTTTCTTAGAGATCCATGAGAAGGGGCTGCCTGCTATTCCATTCGAAGGCATTTCTCGGTTGATAGCGTGCGATGAATGGTGTGGGATTACGTCCTCAACATGGCTACGTTGTCATTAGTACGATTCAATCGCCATATATACACATCACCCTATATGTACCTCGTTTTGCACCTCCCGTTCAGCATTCAGCACACGCAACCATTCGCCGTAGACGTTCTGTCGTCATTCTTATATTCACGGAATCATATCCTGATCAATCGTCTCCTCTCCGGAAATAAATCGCTGGAAAAATCTTCGCTGATTCTGCTGTTCATTCAATCATAAGTTCCCACACTGAGTTCCCCACAAGCATCAAAAAACTTATAAATCTTAGCCGATTGGTTTTCTACTTGAATAATAATAATATCTGCTATCGTATGGACCATATTGGTTGAAATCTTGAACCACTCCGAAACGAGGAAGACTCGGCGATAGTTAGGAAGACACGGAAGATTATACTCACATACTCTCTCACTACTACGATTATCGGTCTGAATATTCTACAATGAACAAGTCCATTTAAACAAATTTGCCTGATTCTGACTGGGACGCTGAAAGAACTCTTTCTTCAACCCCAGAGCCCAGTTTTCTTCGATTGGAAGGTTGAAGGATTTCTATAGGTTATTAAGCTCAGTAAAAAGAGCTGGAAATTGACGGATGACATCACATCAGTTGCAGGGTCTTCAAAGTAGCTTCTAGAGAATACTGAGAAATTTCGACGAAGGCTAGCAAGTTAGAAGCGAGGACTGGACTCAAAAAAGCAGTAATCCTCGGTTCGCAGGAGAGGCCAGGATCTTAGCCCTAATCTCAACTGAGAGAATACCTCAGTTTTGGTTAAGTTGCGGACACGCACTGAAGGAACTATTGAGCTACCCAATAGGATAGTCATCCGAACCGAAAACTCTGGAAGGTGCTTTGTCGAATTTCAAAGAAGCCGTGAATTTGAGGGAAGAGACCTAGTTGTTGATTCGGACGAAATTGTCCAAAGGTAATTCACTGTCACGAGAGGTTCATAGTATGTGTGCACATGAAGTGGGACGAATTTGCTCTAAGGCATGGACAGAAGTGTAAACTCCCTATTAAATACCGTAGTAGGGGCTTGACCCTGGCAAACAGGTGGCAAACAGGTGAGGCTAAATATGAACAGTCAGTCAGAATACAATCAACCTAGCGAATAATGAATGGTGTTGAGGCAAACGATGAAGAGTAAGGTCTTGGAGGAAAATGTGCCCTGGAATTCCGTCCACTCACTGTCCCTGTTTCCACTGCTCTGTGAGAACATCACTATGAAAATATTCGAGCTCTTTCTCTTCATCTATCATACAAGTGCAATAATTTCAGGAATCAACGCGATCGGAGATGGAACGTTTGTTTCAGAATATGTCAATGTTCGATCCAACCGCTAAAGTCGATCGCCAACCACCACCACTTCCCGATACCAACGGTGTCGAATATCCGAGGGCAGCCAGTTGGGCTTCTGGTCCATGCACTGCCGTTATGAAAGACGAAAAAGGTAATGGTCCTGCTCATGACTTTTAGAAGCAACTGCGACATTTCCATAAAAAGTTTCATAACTAGATAGTTAAGTCAGGAGTTGAGGTTTTGTAACGGCGCAGGAAGAACCGGAAAGAACAGGGCTCTGTAAACCGATTGATTCCCCTAACCATCCATGGTGTTGTGTGTTGTATTGGAGCTGGCTAACTCCCTTTTATGGTTGAATTTATTTTCACAGAAACAAGTGATCCTACAGTTGGTACTGTTTCTGCTACTTATATCTATTCCTTTTTTCGATATATCGAAAAGAGAATGAGGAAAACTCAGATGTCAGCCCATCAAGAGTCGGGCGACTTTTTCCTAATATGTAGTTGCGTGAGAATTGCGTGGCTTTTCAAAATTGGCATTTACTAGAACGGCCTAAAGTTCTGTCAGTCGTCGTCTTGTGATAGACAAAGGATTCCACCACGCCAAGAAATCACTCTGTCAGTTGACCAGTGAGAAAAGAGAAATTGAAGAATACGTGAAAGAGAGAAGATGAGGTTTTGTTAATAAAGTCCTCTTAGGGATGCCTCCGGCATTCAACTTCAATTCAGAATTGTGGTGACGTATTGAATAATGTGACCTGTACAATGAATTGCGGTGCCCATTCGAAGTACAAGTCAGTGCTTTTATCCTCCCAGATAGTGAAAATTAACGGCCCCGGAGAGATGTAAGGCCGAGAAGGATAACGAGCCGAAATTCAAACGCGAGACCACGCGTATGTGACAGGGCGCCACTAGGCACTACACCACCTTTGAATCGAAAATTGGGCATTAAGAGAAGCACTGTCCAAGTTTTTCGTATTTTAGTCACTTCTAACTAAAATTACTATTTTCCAGGGTGTCAGTTATTCCGCTGTTTCCTTTTCGAGTCATTAGCCGAAGAGAATCTGTCGTTTGTGGAAGCTGTCGATAAACTGAAAAAGATGAAGAACAGCGATGAGAAGAAGGTTTGAAAAATAAATTTATTATTATTATTCTAAATATTTCTTAGGCTCCTATAAAATAAGATACAAGAATTGTTAGGAGACCGAAATCAACTTTCAGTCATCACTTATCTCATCTTTTACGTCTTGTAGGAATACGATTTGTTCCAGGCATACGCTAGAGAGATTGTTCAGCTGTACTCGCCATATATCAACCTAAGCAGTGGGGCAATGAAGGTCTGTTTTTCGCCTTCTTTAACACCATCTTTTGACAAGGGGCTCTCAGAAAGCTGTTCCTTCCAGAAAATCAAAGATGCCGTGGAATCGGACAACTTGGACCCGGAAGAATTTGCACCAGCTGTCAAAGAGGTATCTGTTAGTTACTCTTCCTGTTCACAATTTACTGGGTCCCAAGTTTATTATCTGAAACGCAAAGTTTTTGGCGCAATCATAATCGGGCTATGTACCTACTTTCATATCCTCCTACGATCCTGGGCTGCTTTCGTGTTTCGCCGCTCTTATCCGTAGTTTTTGGAAGATGGATAGGACCTCCAGTCTTTTTTGACCTATTCAACCCCGTCCTAGCTTGAGCGACTCTTTGACAATCTGATGGAGCAAAGTTGAGAGTCAGTGTCTTCGAAATCCGTCGCTCTATCCTCCACAGGAGACGAGCGACCGTTATGGGCAGATAATAGTAGAAGAGGCGCTTGCATTTCTTGAAATAGAAATGACAACATTGTAGATGACCTAGAAAGAGACCATCCCGACTTCTCACACACACAGCCAGTGGATCGCTGTCACATATGAGTTCTGGTGCTTTCTTGAATTAATAACGATCGTTTAGGTGAAACGTCTTCTGGAGAACGACCAGTTTCCACGTTTTCGTCGATCTGAAATCTACCTAAACTATCTCGAGAAGCTCCTCCCAAGAGCATACGCGGAACGTTGGGCAAATAGTTTCGAGGCTCTTCTAGGAAACCATGTATGTGATTCTCGTTTACTCTGAATTATAGCAGACATACAGTCGGCTTTTCATTTTTGGGGTGATCCTTTTACTAATAGGGCTGAGTCTTGAGAGTGATCATACTAAGTATTTTTTTGCTGTTTACTGTAATTACGGTATATGTTACACAGTGTGTATACACAATCATTCCCATGAAAGAGCTGTGAATTAGCAACAAAAAGAAGATCCATCTAAACTTCCATTTCCAGGTCGGACGTCATCACTTCCGTCTATTTCTTCGCAGTATTCACGCTGAAGAAAATCTTCGATTCTGGGAAGCAGTAGTCGAATTCCGTGGCATGAAAAACAAGAGCCCAGCACAGATTACGGCCGGAAAAAGTTGTCTGAACACCTTCCTTGCCGAAGGAGCAAATAATGAGGTACATCGAAGTGTCTGTACTAAACCAGATTTTTTCACTTTAAACGCTTTCATCTATTCGTAGTGTCCTAATCGGTAGTCCTCAATTTGTGATTTCAGGTGTTTCTGCCATTTGGAGTTCGACAAATAATTGAAAAAAAGATTCAAGAGAAGGACGTCGATATTACACTTTTCGATGAAGCTATTAAGCATGTCGAACAGGTGTGCTTATTCGTTCGTTTCATTTAATACTATTTGACGACTGAATTTTAAAAACCTCGAGTTCAGAATGTCAGATTTGGGGCAGGTATGTACTAAGTAGTCAAGCATGTCATTATTTCCAGAACTCTGCGTCATCGATGACGTGAAGTTGAACAAAAGTTGTGTCCTATAAGTACTTTAATGTTATACAGTTCAGCTGCTATTAATCGAAGACTCAGTTCACGATAATTTTGCGGTACCCCGTTTTTATTTAAAAAGCGGAAGTACAGATTGGGAATAGTCGTCGGTAGCGAAGGGAGCGAGGGAAGTCGTCGATTTCCAGAAAAGTATGGCTGCTCAAGAGTAGAGAAAGTAGAGTTTGGACGAGATTGCCATGACGGAAATAACATGGAAGGGGTATTCGGACGAGATTTTGGTTGTTTGAATTGTGCAAAGAGCTGACTTCATCAAACCAAAACTGTACAGAACTGTATTTACCTTTCGCTATGAGTCATGATAAGGTGTTTGAACTTCTTACATGGGTTCCCTTGTAATCGGTCCAGCCTCTACAATGCCGGTGAAACTCGTCCGAGGATACACACGGGTCTATTTCTGAGCCTGTATAACTCCCTAACTAATCCGTTTTGGTGCCAGATGTGCTATACGCGGAGGCCTCGAATTCATGCTGTGGGGGAACCTCAGAAACCATTTTTATCGTGTACTATGCCTTTAAGGATAGCAATGGCAATACTGTCAACTGAATAGTTGCCCATCAAATTTTGAGAATGACAACCCACTATTCCTCCCAAGTGATAACTATAGTGGTAACTCCTTGGATTGAAGGCGGAGCGGCTCACTAGATTATTTGGTGAAAACAAGGCACGGTGGAGCCTGATGCTTTTTAGAGTATCAGCTATCAGGGGTAGGATCTCAAGTGCAACTTCCGCAGGACATTTTTTGCCGCATTACCTCCAACTCCCATTTCGCCTGAATATTCTCCTATTTGATTGCACTCTCCGAGAACGATCTCATTAGGTTCTGCCATGGAGGGCATAAGCACGGCATAGGTCTTCGCACATCGCTGGTTTCTGAACTTGGTTCAAAGGCTGAACCTGAATATATTTCCCGAATCATTGGTCAAGAAGCTCTTTATCGATGGTTCTTTGTAAGCTCGATTGCAAAAGTTCACTGAAATTTGTACGGAGCCTCATACAAAATGTAAAAACTCAAAAATAATAACATTATTTCAGGTGCTACGCAACGACCCCTATGTACGCTTCCTGCAGAGTCCTCAGTACCTTGATCTTCTGGCCAAGCTCAAGAATTAGATATCGTCGAACATTTCATATTTATATTTTTTGCTTCTGATCTCGTCTTACTGTTGTTCAATATTCCCTATGTTCATAGAGTTATGCGAATTTGTAGGGTAATACTAGTTATTCGGATATTTCAAAATATTTACAAATATTTGAATTAAGTAAAGATTTCGTGCATGTGAAGTAGGTCCATATCAATTACCTGAAAGGTCCAATAAAAGACATGAATCATTCAAAGAAAAAATCATCAGATAAAAAATAAAAAAAAAACTAAAAATAAAAAACGATTGAAATCATCAGATAAAATCACACTAAAAGAACTTCGAACTTACGTCAAAATGTACGAGAAGACCCCGGATAGGCTCCTCACTGTCTTCTGGTGCCAAGGTATCCCTCAGTTTTTTCAACTTGACGACAGCTTTCTAGGTGATAGGTTTAGTTGAGCCCGTAGCAATGACACTTAATCACTGATGTTCAGGTGATAAAATGGTGATAAACCTACTGAACTTGTCAAATGATTAGGTATATCAGTCATGGACAAAAGGAAGACTCGTCCAGTAAAACAGGTTGCAAAGTAGTCAAGACTCTAATCACAACTACAGGAGTGAAAACTGTCAGCTAAAGGTCTTTGATGTTTTACTACCTACAAAACTGGCTTGCCTGTACGTAATAGGTCATGTAGGGGCCTTAATAGGATTATGGACCTCACTCCCACAAGAAATAACATCTCCCGATACTAGGTAATGCGCTGATCATCTAGTGTGCTCATTAAAAATGTGAGAAATTCCTCATAATGTCGAGCCAAAAACCAGGCAGGTTAGCGTGATGGTTAGATATGGGAAGGGAAATTTGCTAACGACACTTATTTAACACTTATTATTATTGGTTTTGGAAGTATGCCAATCAAGTAAATTGAGAGGAAGGTGTCGACCCATTTTTGCTTTGAAGATATCATCGACGCATTACCTCTGCTCGAGTGAATCAGTCAAGAATTCGATCCCCGTTGAATTCTACCTTTACTAGAAGATATTGGATGAGGCACGAAAAGGGGCGGGATTTGCTCCCAGAAGGGCCGTTTTTCCTTGAAACTCTCTGTGCTTTACTTGTCATGAGAAAACAAAAAAAGTTCGGTAAATGAAGGCAAAGTGTTGCAAGGATTGGATTTCTTCTCTTCTTCAATGTCATGGGGCATAATT